CACTCGTCGGGGCCCATGCAGGTTAGATGATTGCACCTGCCCCTTTTGTGTACCAATATGCATACATATTACAGTGCATGTGCGGGGGCATTTTTTAAAATATTTGATGCAGGCCAATTATGTGACATTTGCCATTTAAATGTAGCATTCTATTTTGAAGCACGTAAACGCCTTTTATCTGTTTGTATGAGTGTTGCAGATCCAATGGCGTGGCATTGTACTCCAGTGGCCCATAGTCTTCCATTATTGATTCCCTGCTTTTGCTTACAGGCGGATCGTGACATTATCACCTGATTTCCACGAGATATCTCTTTGTTTTGATGTAGACTCTTTTCTCGTTCATCAGGAGGTCGGATCTACGAATCAACCGACCCTTATTTTGATTAGATAACCATATATAAATGACGTGACGTCGTTTTGTGATAGATGATGTATCACAAGTTGATGAGACAAAGGACTCGACTGGGGTATCATTATATTGTTTTGTCTCTGACTTGCCACGAAGGTAGGTCATTGAGTTGAGGGACTTGATCTTCAAGTCCTTACTTGTGTGATGCAACATATTTTCGGAAGCCCATGTATTTCTGGAGAGATGATATAATGAGCCATCATTCATTCATTTTTTTCCTTCAAGTTCTCATTCTTTGTTTCAGCAAAATCATTCATGAAAAATCATTTAACTCTATATCATTAATGTCATAGGTAAGACCCTCTACTGTCAGTAGATCAGCGGGCTTCTTGCAACAGTTTGCAAATACTTGTGTTTGCCGGAAGTCTTTAGTGTTTTTGCAGAGATGATAGGTGAAAAATCTCTTTAACTGGTCATTCTTTGACTCTACAGATTCATTCAATTTTGTATACTTCATATCACAGTCGAGGTCTTTTGTTGATGACATGTCGATTAATTTCCTTCGTATATCCAGTCACCTTCATATATGACTATTAGATTCTTTGAAGTCATTAAATATAGGACTTTTAATTATGCTCGGCCAACAAAGCTCTCGACCTCAACAAGGTGAATGTACTTCTACACTTGTGTGGGGCTTATTATGCTTGCAGCTTCTCAATCACCGCTATTGTAGGTGTTCATGGGGGGACACGGCTACACACATTCATCATTGGTCGTCAGCTATTTGTTATTGATTGTGAGCATATAAAAATTATATATATATATATATATATATATATATATATATATGCTGACATCGACTGTCAAGTGATCGGTACAACTGCTTGTTGCAGAATGGTTGTTGACTACAAGAAGGATTTGACATTTGTTGCACATAGTTCGTTGTCATTGATAGATGAACTGTTGTGCATAGTGTATCTCCCACAAGTATCGTATCATCTATACTTGTTCATTAGCCTATTGTTATCGACTGCAGGGATGGCCTAGGAACTACTATGAGTTGCTTCGTTGTCGCCCGTAGTTGGATAATTATAGCTTGACGGACTTCCTACAGTCACTTGTAGGAGTTTTGCATTTGTTGCAAATTAACCATCCCTGTTTGCAAGGTAATGGTGTATGTGCTAGATACTTGTTTGCAGATGATTATACTTCTTTATATATACTTGATTGGTCATTCAGTACATGCCCGATTATTATTGTTTGTATGGTTGAATGTACTTTTAGGGTATTATCGTTGTTGGTTGTATGGACATCCCAGTGTTTGTTGCATGCTACATGTACTTGCATCATAACCATCTTAACCATTCACAGGTGGTCGTTGATTGTATTTGTTTGCAATGATGGGTCTTCCACTATCAATCACCAGTGTTGTCATCTCAATATATATGCAAATTGTTGTTTGTGTTGAGGCTCTCATCAATCCAAGTGGGAAACAGTTGTGCATTCCACAGTCAACTATTGTCGCTCACAAGTATAGCGTATTTAGTTGCATGCGAACTATTGATTAATAATTAATTAATTATTATTAATCATGATTATTGATAATTAATTAAAATTATATATCGCTCACAAGTATAGCGTATTTAGTTGCATGCGAACTATTGATTAATAATTAATTAATTATTATTAATCATGATTATTGATAATTAATTAAAATTAT